CTGCTATTCATATGGTTTCATTTAATATGTGGGTAATGGGATACACCATATGGGTCAGATTTGTCTCTTGCCGTATGCCTGCTAAGCCAATAAAGTTACATCAGGGATAATTTTGGCTGTGTTTTTGCAGTTTAGCCAGAAATCAAAAGACAAGTGTGAACCATGCCCTGGATTGCTTAATAAACCTTCTGGCTTCTTACCCTCCAATAAAAGGGTGCAAAGCTGAAGCAGGTGGTATGAATAGTGGGTCCAGGGGAGGAAACCTTCTGAATTCAATGAGGACTCTTTAAAGTTCCTAGTTTCATAGACATTAGGGCTGGAAGGGATCTCATGAGGTCGGCAGGCCCAGCCCCAAGTAGGTGACAACTAATTTTTTTTCTCTCCCTCCTGTTTGAAGCACGTGTTTATTTGGCTGTCAATGGTATCAATGATGGTGCCATAAAGGAAAGGGGAGTTTGATCCTAAGATGTTTTTTTCCTAAGGTGTAAATCAGCACAGAGGCCTCCATTTGCGAAGCAAGAACTTCTTGTTTCCCCTCACATTGCTGTTTCACTAAGAGGTTTTGTGGCTGGACCACAACTGCTTTGTTGGAAATCATTCCCAACCCTTCTATAGGGGAGCAGGTGTAGTTGTACGCACACATCCACACAGACCTCGCAGGGGAAAACATGTAAAAATTAAATATAAGCCACACGAGAGCTGCCTTTTACAAGTTTACTGACAGGTTGATGCATTTTCTCCTATGATAGGAGTCTTCCTGGGTCTTGGGGAAGTCACTAGGCTGGGTGGTTTTTTTGGTGTCTTAAGTGATGGTCATGGTTGCCTTTCTCAAGAAGTGGATGACTTGATGGCTAATGGGCTGCCAATGAGATGAACTTTGGAAGACAGGCTGGAGGGCAGGTAACATGTATCAGTTCGGCCAGTAGTAATAGGTGGTCATAACACGAACATAACCTGTAAAGACAGGAGAGACTATCACCATCTGTAAACCTATAAGACAAAACAAGTGTCAGTGTTGATTGTTATTTATTTTAAGATGGTCTAGGTCATCCTGTACCACCTCTGGATCTGGCACGGAGGAAATAGCCCTGCTAAGACATGTGGAAACATCACACTCTCCCCTAAAAATCAGAGGGTGACCCTGGGGGCACTCAGGTGTGCTCCATGCAGGGGGAAGAAGAGGGGCACTTCCTAATTAAGGAGTGAATGGGCCGGGTTTATTTCCTCAGGGCTGGACCTTGAATGTGGGGAAGTGGTATAGACATGGTTTAAGACACTGGACCAAAACTGTGGAAACCTGGGACCTGATCCTAGAACGGTTACAGACGTCTTGTATGATCTTGGGCAAGTCACGTGTTTTCCTTGCTATTTAGTTCTCCCTCTCTAATACGGAAAGGATCATCACTTTTCCCTCAATCCTTTGTCTACCCCAACTGGGCTATCCCTTGTACAAATGCGCAAGGACCCTAAACAGTACCAGTGTTGCATTAAAGACAATGCCAGCTAGTGCAAGGAATGAAAGATGCAGATAGAAACCTACCAAATCCAAAGACAAAATAGCCTCTGACCTGCCGTGTTCACTGCTAGCTTCTTACAATCAAATTCACCTCCCCATGCCTTTGCACCCTCTCTTTCATGCTAAATCACTGCAAAGGAAGAAGTATGAAAATGGTTCTTGACTTTACCCCTCTTCTTCTTTAGTGGTGCCCTTTTCCAGCTGCATCTTCTTCTCCTCCTCTGTCTCCTCTTCGAGGGCCCATAGCTTCTGGAGTGGCGGAGGTGCTGTCTTCCACATCTCGCCATCACTGCTTCTCTTTGGTGGCTTCAGGACCCCAGGAGAAGCAATTTTATGGCTTGGTCAGGCCAAGCAAACCTGTCTGCTCGGATGGTGCCTGAGCTTGTGAAGAGGCCTGTGGAGGTTTCCTGCTACTTAAAGCCCTGGGTCCCATGATGTCACAGTGGGTCGGTATTGTGATCACACTCAGCGAATGTTGCTGGGAAACTCATGTCAATGAAATAAACTACCCTGAACCTTATGGCCATCGCAGCATAGGGTTGGAAATGAACCTCTTCTCTCTGGATAGCAAATGAGGCTCATTTATATTTTTAACGCCGAGTTGTCAGTGCAGTCAGCCAGTAGTCAATGGTCTCGTACCCTTTTCTGCTTGTAACATTCACTGGTATTTTCTGGCACCTTGGTGGAGAGGTAGTTAACCATGTTAGTCTGAAGTCAGACAAAAGGAAGGACACCTTAGAGACCGACTGGTTGAGGGAGACCTGAGCATTTTTAGGCAATGACCTACTTCATTGGATCATAGCAAAGTAGGTTGTCGCCTACAAAAACTCATGCCTCTAAACCAGGTAGACTCCAAGATGCCACCCTGCCCTGCCTTCTGCCTGACACCTTAACCAAATCCCTTTTGGTTAAGGGAAATTTTGAAATAGGCAAGGGTTTGTCTGCATCCTTTGACTTTTGGATACCTCCATCCTGCCCCTGAAATACGTATCTTAGCTTCAAGCTGGGTAGAGGTAGGCAAGCGCTAGGATCCAGAATGACTTTGACAAACTGGAGAAACAGGCTGCAATTAACTGGATGACATTTCAAATGAAGTGCAAGGTCCTGCACCAGGGATGGAACAATTGCCTACACCAATACCCCGGGGGAGGGCTGGCTGAGGTGTGTGCAGTGCAGAAAGGGACCTAGGGATCATAGTGGACCACAAGCTGAATATAAGCCAATAGTGTGCTCTTGTTGCAAAAAGGGCCAATAGCAAATCAAGAGAAGTGATTCTCCCTCTATTCAGCACTGGTGAGGCCTCCCCAAGAGTACTGCATCTAGTTTTGTTCCCCTCCCTTCAAAAAAGATGTGGACAAATTAGAATGGGTCTAGCTGAGAGTGACCAAAATGATTAGAGGCCTTCAAAATATGATTTATGAGGACAGGCTTAACAAATTAGGATTATTTTGTTTGGAAAAGAGAAGCCTAAGGGAGAATCTGATAACCGTCTTCAAAAACTTGAAGATGATTATAAGGAGGATGGAGATAGACTCTCCTCTGTGGTCACGGTGGACAGGACTAGGAGCAATGGCCTCAAGCTGCAGCCGAGGACGTTTTAGATTAGAGATGGGGTGGAAATGTCTTAGGCTAGAAGCTGGGTGGCACTAGAG